TAGGCTCGAATCCCAGCGATGGCTGGTTGATATGTATTTTGCACCCGACTTACACTGACCACGGTTAGGACGTTCATTCCCCAAACAAAAGTGACATCCTAAAATAAAAATTTTAAATTCTCTCAGTACGTGAATATTCCTACGAAAGAACAATATAGTTAAATGCTTGTGTTTAAAATACATTTCATCCATTGATTTAAGTTGATAGAAAGAGTATTGCGTGATAAAAATACATTTAACAATGCCAGAAATGTTTTTAAGTGCCATTAAAATACGTAAAAGGATTCGGAGAAAAATACCATCGACCAATATATCTGAAACAACTGCTATCTCTATCCATACCGTATCATACAAAATGGAGAACGTAGATATAAGACTCTATTATAAAAAAAGGGCAATTTTTATTTCTTACTCAGAAATACAATCTACCACCAACAGTTTCTGTAAACAAAATGAAAGGAAAAAATAAAAGAAATGTTTAAAAAAACGTTACATGCCCTTCACCTTTTCTTGTATCCTTATCAAATGCAGCTGCTAACCGATTGGTAAGGCTTTCTTTCTCTCTCTTTGCATGCTCGCTTTGCCTTTCAAAGACTCGATTTTTACAGAAAATGAAAGAGAAAAACTTTCTGCGTGTCGTTTTTCTTTCCTTCTGTACACGAAGGGATACATGAAGTTACGTGAACCATAAAAGAAGCGTTAACCTGCAGTTGTCGCTAGAGTGTGTACTTTTTTCTGTTTTTTTTTTTAAAAAAAAAAAGATATATATCACCGATAAGTTTTCTTTAACTTAACATTCACTTTTGTCAAGTGTTTTTGCTGCTTTGTAAAAACACAATTTTTAAGGTGAATTATTAAAAAAAAATAGTATCAAATATTTAGATGGATTTAAAAAAGATTTATCGTGAAAATTTTAAAAACGTAGTGGTACAAATGCATATAAAACTAAATATGTTGATTATCCATACTATCATATAAAACTAATTATTTCAGATATTTAAAAAAAAAACAAGGTAGAAATTAAATCAAAAACCTTGGTATTTTTCGTCAATTATTTTTTGCTTGCAAACATAAATATAGAAGAAATTTAAAAGTTTAAAAGTTTACTTCTACACTATTTATACACTATAGAGCTTTTAATTTACTAGGTTTTGATTTACTACAGTCAGCTTATGTACAGAGCTAAAAAAAATATAAAAAACCGGACCACTTTGAATAACTTTTGATCTAATGATTGAATTTTTCAGCTCTGGGACACAATCTTAATAGTTCGAGAGGGTAACTTCAAATGAGCCAATTAATTAGTGCAGGAGTTATTTTAACTTTCGAAATTAAATACAAAAACGTACTTTCTCTGAGTAAACATACATTTTTTTCAATGGATTAGAATTTCTCCCACTAAATTTGAAGAGTAGCCAAAATTTGGGAAATATGGTCCACAGTTAGGTCAGGAGAGCGATCCTGACCCTTGATCTGGACCCCTTAATGTTAATTTTACTTTTCAGTATTTCGCCATATCTAGAGAACTTTTGAAGTGAATTGAAAAATATTTGCACTCATTTATAAAAATCGCTCATCCAAAGATAATTCCATGCAAAAAAAAAGAATTTTTAGTTATTTTATTTAATAAGAGTCGAAAAATGTGAATTGTAAGGTATATATTTTTTCATTATTTTGAAGAATGTAATTTTACATGGCAGAGTACAAAATTTGAGCAAAATAGATCGAATAGTCATTGAGAAATCAAATTTTAGCTATGGTACATTTACCTATTTCAACTATACGACTTTTTTAAAACCGATTTCTCTCAAATTTACTGTTTTGCTGTGTTAAATTCTGTACATTCTAGAATTATCTGCCTTCAAAAATGTCAACATCCAAGAAATCATTCACTGGGACATAAGTACCAGTTCTGAAATTTTTCTTCATTTTTTTCAAGAAAATATTCATTATTGGTGTACTTAACTACTGCTATTTATATTTTAATAATGATAATAAAAAACATGTTATTTAACAAAATATAGTCTAAAAAAAAGTTTAGTAATCATTAAAAATTAAAATGTTATTATAAAAATTACGATTATACTAAAAAATCCTCACGTCTACTAAAGTATTTGCGTTCATCGTGTCTTAATAAAAGTATTATATATGAACATTACAAAATACGTAAAATAAACATTGCAAAAGAAAATCAACTTCAAATCAAGCATATTCAAAAATTAGTAATGTAACAAATATTATTACAATTTCTAAAGTTATGTATATATGTGTATTAAATATGTTTTGTAATCTGCTAAAAAGGGGGCATTTTTTACATTTTTTGTAAGAAAATCAATCTCTTTTTTAAAAAAAATGCATTGCAATAACATTCTGTGAAAACCATAGCTAACTATCAAAATACTATGAAATAGTATTTTTTAATACAAATATAATGACTAATTAATTTATGGTAACATATTTAAACATTTTCTTTATCGAAATAATTGCATTTAAATATCAATAAAAATATTTGTTTTCGCTGGATATTCTTATTAAAACAAGAAGTGTATAGATTGTAAAATAAAAATGATCAGTTATAACTATTACCATAGTATTTTAATCTTCATTATAAGGCTTAATCAAAAAATGATTAAAAAATATAATTGGTCAAAAACCTATAATAATTTTGTTTAATTTTCTGAATGGTCGCATCTTAACTCTGAATAAAACTTGAATAAGAGATTAAGAAAATAAAAAGTTTCTTTTTTTAATTTATCAGTTGTTATAAATAAAATTTTGTGATCAAATAAGTTAAAAAAATAAAAAAATATCTGATAAGAGAAGCAATAATCAAATCCTAATTTTTTAATCAATTAAAAATGAAAGCTGTCATCAACTCATCAAGGGTTTAACGCTAAACAATATCTTAAATAACGTCAAATAGTACATAAATTCACTCTTCGCAAAATGATAACAGCATTTGAATTTTTTGAACAGTAAAAAAAACTATTTGAATACACTTAAATCGATAAAAGTGTTTACAGAATTTAAATGAAGCATTTATTGTTTAATACTACTTGTAAAAAGTGAATAAACTGTTAGAGGCTTTTTTGGAAACAAAAGTCACGTTCTTTGTAAAAAAGATAAGTACTGAATAATTCAACAACATAAAAAGTTAACAAACGTCAGAAAAATATTCATGAAAAAAATAAAATAATTCATGCATTTAGATACTGTGAAAAAGAGACTAGTGAACTTCGTTTTTGGCAATTACACTAAACTTTTGAAATTTCACCCATCATAACCTGCCAGTGTTATTATTTATTTGATGAAAAAAAGCAAAAATTGTAAGAAATACTTCTAAAATGCAGAAAAGATACCTGGATGAATGAACCTTTAAAATAAAAAGGGTTCTATAATATGTTTTTCGATATTTTATTTTGCTCAAAATGTTAAATAATTCCTATATATTTGTAGTCTATGCATCGTTTGAAAAAAATTGAGAAAAGAATAATTATCACAATTATATATATATATATATNACATATAGTTACAATAATATGTATATTGATGCTTAGCTATGTTCTTGTTATGCAACTTATACTAAGAACTCATGGCCTTATTTGAAATCTAAAATGAAAATTGTAAACTACCCACGCATAATTCCTAATTGAAAATAAGATTAGAATTTAAACAAAATTTACTTATGCTTTCACTTTTGCACCAAGGTAAGCTGAAAACATATATATATATATATATATATGCAGTTGTTTTTTCATCCGATTAAAAGAAAAGACTTTATTAAATATTATAAAAATGCATTTCTGCAAACAATATTTATTTTTAGCAAACAATATTATTTTTAATTGGTCCAAGTTATTAGAATATAATACGAAAATATGCTTTCAATAGTTCTACAAGTACCTCATCAATATTTTAGATTTATTGCAGATTATTTTAAAATGACTTTTTTACGTTATGGATGTGTTTCATGTTATGAATTTTTTTTAAATGGGACTTTACTCACTCGTCTATTCTTTTAAGACTATTTAACGATTATTTATTTATTGATTATTTATTTAATGATTACTTATTTAATGATTATTTATTTAATTAATATAGCTTAGAAATATATTCATACATATGTAGTGATAGTAATGTGGTGATATTATATGATAATGTGGTTATAAATTATACATTTCCCGGCATCCTTAAATAAAGAGTAATTATCCTACCTACACTCACTCCTCATCATTACATGGAGTGTAGTTCATTTAAAATATAAAAAAATGCATTAGTTTAATATTTCAGAACTTTTCAACCGCATGCTGGCATGAATTACTCACATTTAAAAATTTGCATAGGAACATCTCATTTAAAATAAATATTTCAGTTATATAGTTTCTTCAATTCCTGTTCAGAAACCTCAATAACGTTCATTTACTGGCTCCGTTTTACCCAGACGATTTGGCGTGGAGAAGGACTTGAGATTTGGTACATGTGACCTTCGCACCTTGAATAGGGGTGACTCACTCAAAAAACTAATACATGTTTTTGACGACTATAACCTTGCAAGGGAGTTGCATGGATAGGAGGCGCTGGCTTTTGTAGGCTATTGAGGCCGCCTAGGCCTGCAAGGGGCTGTAACGCTGACAAAGAAGAAGTTTCTTCAATATACAGTTTCCCACGCCTTGATTTGTAGAGTAGTTATCTCGACTTTACCCACGCATCCCTTCTTTTAAGACTACTTATTCAATGATTATTGACTTAATAAATATAACATAAAAATGTAATCATCCATATCTCCGAATGTTTTTATAAAATGTATATTTTCCCTTCTCCTCAAATGAAGAATAATTACCACACTTATGTCTTATCACAAATGGAAGTGTAATTCATTTAAAAAAACTATGCCTCAGTTTAATATTTCAAAACTTTTCTATCAAAATTTCAGCCTGAATTATTCACATTTAAAAATTTTAAAAGAATCAACACATTTAAAATAAATATTTCAATTCTACCTTGTGTCCCATCAGAGTGAATTACCAATCCATCGTCACGGAACCAAGCGGTAGTTGTCACGTAGTCCTTCACAAAACTCGGGATATAGCACTTGAGGACAGCTGTGTTGTCTCGAATTACAAATTCATCGTACACTCTCACTTCATACTGCTGGCTCAGTACTGAAAGAAAACAAAAAAGTAAGAAAAAATTATGGAAGAGTCAAGTCAAAATGAAGGAGAGAATGTCCCATCAAATAGGATCAAGAAAGTACGAGGAGCGTGAAAATTAGCTCTTTTCACACTCGGCCGACTATGAGGATTTTCAGTGGGAAAATAACCGTAACGCAGTGGTCCGCTGAGCTTCGTCAAGAGAAAAATATAAATACTGTATTTCCAACAGTATCCCATTTTTATGTTATGTTGAGTCTAGACAAAATGTTAAGATTTTGCTCTAATAATGAGTCTGTTTAGTTTTTTTTCATTTAAGTAATAATTTAAGCTTCAAATTTGAAGAAGACGTGGATGCTAAAATCCTTTGTATGCAGCATTTAGTCGGAAATAAAATAAACTTTTCTATATTATAAAGATCGTGGATATTAGACAGTATTTTAATGCATTTTATATGGTATAAACATAACAGATAACCCTAAAATTGTGTAATAAACTTTGATTAAATTTTAAAAAGCAATAAATAATTTCTATCTAGTAATTAAACTACAGAAAAATTATTCAAAATTTTTTTTAATAGATAATACTTTTAAGCCTATTTATCTTCATATAACAGCTATTAAAACACTATGTATTAAATTAAAAAAAGTTATATTTCTAAGTTACGTAGTTAAAGTCTAAAAAATACTAAATTCAACTGTATCTTACAATATATTAAATCCTAATTCCATTAATGCGAGAGTATTTCATAATTAGAGTGATTAATTGTATTGGAAATGAAGGAAAAGTTCCGAAATGTAAACATTTTTTTGACTTATGAGTTTTATAAAATTTTTAATATAGCTCTCATATTTTATAAAATATAAAAAGAAAATTGTTATTTATATTATTTTTAAAACAATTAACTTTCTTTAAAACAAGTGCAATTTGTTTGATTATTAAAATATCACGTTTTTGAATGGCCCAAAACATTATCTACTTATACTGCATCATTATCAGAATTTATAGTTAAAAATAATCTATCCAAGGAATTGAACACAGATATTCAGTTTAAAATAAAGCATCCATATTTCTAAATAGCTTAATTCAAAATCTTTTTTAATTTTTAAATGTGTGTTAAATTTCTAGAATTCTGTGCATTAGTTTAATTTCTAATTTTGATCACAATGTCAAATGTGATGATAAAACATTGCTCACTATTTATCTATATTTTAATTCAAATTATCACATTAATTACAATACATATTCATTGCAATCCTGCCTAAAAATTATTTTGCGTAACATTAAGCGTATAATGCTAAATTTTGAAAGAAATGTTTTCATATATCTTATTGCATTGTAAGAATAAATGTAAGAATATTTGAAATTAAGAATGTCTGGAACTAAATATAAATAACCAAAAATATATAGTTATTTTTCCAATTACTCTCGAGCTTACAATTACTTCGACTAATCTTCAATAACTAGTATAATCAAGAACTACTATAATAGAAATAGTATAACTAGTATCAACATTTTTTAAATGGAAAATCAATAGTAAAGGTATTTTAACGTCTCCGAATTAAGGATGATTGAAGAAAGGAATGAGATTATTTCATTTAGGATGTAATTTTTTCTTATTTAAAGAATATTTATTTTTATGTTTATATTTTAAATAGACGCAATATATATTAAAAATGCTGCATTTAGAAATGCTGAAAAAATCCTCCCCTTTATTGATTTCGATTTAATTCGTGATGGATACTCGTTTTGGGAAACTGAGCATAATTTGACTTATACATAAAGAAGTGATGCTTTGGAATGCTCCAATTATAGAGTTGTTAGTCTGCTTTGCACGTTCTGTAAATTATTCTCTACAATATTATTCAGGACTTTCTGATGGAACTAAACCGCATTTGCGTTACATGGAGAGGAAAACCTCCCACGGTTAGCCTGTCGGCAAGGAGACTCTAACCCATGATCCATCTACCACTTCTCTATGATCCGACAACCACTTCTCCATGATCCGTCAGCTCTCTGGTATGTGTGATCCTGGTGCGGCATTTGTATCTACCAGTCATCACTGGGATTCGAACCCAGTTCACCTTATTCGAAGGCAATTGCTCTATCCCCTGAGCCATCAAAAATTTATTAAAGATTCCGCAATTAACACCATTTTTCCACAAAACTCTGCAAACTTTCGCATTTGCTGATGATATTGCTATAGTAACCCGGACCCGAGGGACTCTCAAACAAGCCTTTCTTTTCTTGGAAAAAGAAGCAAGGAAAATGCATATTTCAATCAGCCAAATCAAAACCAATTGTGATGACTATTAATTTTAATGCTGCCCATCTCCTCAAAATAGGTGACAAGAGTTTTAAAGTAAATAATAGTGTCACATATTTGAGCTCTGAATTGAACATTAATAACGATGCAACGTTAGAAGTACGTAACAGAATAACAGTTGGTAAAAGGTGTTTAAACGGAATACACAAATATTTAAAATCTCGTCTCATCAGCAAGAAGATAAAATTACTACTCTACAATGTTTTGATCAGGCCCATAGTTGCATTCTCTGTCTAAATGTGGGTAATAGTTGCATTCTCTGCCAAAGACCAAAGATCCGGAGAAAAAAGATTTGAGACTTCTCAAAGTCTTAAACAAAAAGAGTCTATCCAAGAAGAGGGAAGCTTGGAACTTGCTTCTGAGGAAATTTATGGTCCCCCTTGGGCTGGCACGCGATTGAAGAATAAGAGGACAATATATATATTTTACTACTTAATCTAATTATTCATACTCCCATTTATTTTATTGTAAGGTTTTTAATATTACGTAAACTTAACTGCTAAAATTCCAACGTATTTGATTATTTTAAACAGCATTGTTAGATGAATAAATGTAATTTTAAGTAAAATTTTTCCTCTACTTTATATGTATCTAATGAATTAATCAATTTTATGATACATATTTTAGTTGATAGAGTTTATTTTAGTTAAAATTATTTCGTTTATTACGTTCCAATTTGTAAGTTTCAACTCATTTAACTATTTTAAACTGCATATTTTAAATAAAGAAAAAGTAATTTTCATATTTTTAGATTTTTTGATGAACTCAAAAGGTATCTTATGAATTAATCTATATTTTTATGAATCATTTAGTTAATTTTAAGGTCATTATGTTCAATATTATTATTATATTTTTCAAATGATTCAATCTGTAAATATTAACTTCCTTGAAACCTTTTTGGTCTTTTGTCTATTTCACTAAATAGAAAAACTGACTTTATAAAAGTTTTTTTATAATTCCTTGAACTTTAATTTTGTTTTGTGACATTTTATGCAAACACTGAAGAGTCTCAGATTGCAGTGACATGTGTTGATTTACGTAACTTTTAAACAGCTTTTACTACTTTTTCATAGAAAAGAAAAGCAAACTTGAGCCATTTTTTAAGAAGTACAACTAAGCTTAACAAGTAAATAAAAATTTAAAATATTTTAAATTATAGCAAGTTAGAACAGTAAACTGAATATTTACTGCATATAATTAATACAATGCATTCAAAAGCAGTGTGAAGAAAAGCTATGATAACACTCAAATAGAAACAAATTTTAAATAAATACAACTATTTAATGAAATAAAATCAAATTCCTGAAATCTATTTGATTGATCAGAACAACTACTTATAATGCATTCTAAATAGTTATTAATAAAAGATAACATGACTTAATACCTTACAGAGATTATCTCTCCGTTCGTAGCAATCATATTTACATCTTCATTTAAAATTTAAAATGTAAATCTTAAACTCAAAAAAGGGATTTCAAAGCAATAAGATTTGACTACAATATTGCTTATAACTTGATATCGGATTTTTATTTTCTTAGACTTAATCAATGAATAATATTCACAAAAATTTATTTAATTAAACTCAAAAATATTGTCCACAAACGTTCACCCTAAAATAATCGCGCAATGCTGTGCATATAGAAAGGATTGTTTTCTTTTTAGACAAGTTGTGCAATATTCCTTGATTTCCTTGTTCGCTTGAAAGTATTGTCTTGGCAATGATTTTTTTAAACTCCTTGAAGATATGGATATGAAACAGTTCACTATTGGATGGACTATTCAATTTTTTGTATTCTTGTTCAAGTGTGAACTTGTAGGGGATCTTTTCCACGCGTACTTTATGGAGTTAGAACATGTTTCTAGTGATAGGGCAAACCAGGACATAAACAAAAGTTACAGAGACAGAAATACCGTCTTTTGTTACGAGATGATCTTTCTGAATGAGTTAATTCTTTTTCGCAACCTATTGGTTTAGCTGAACTGCAAGCATCATTCCGGATTGATATGCGTTTTTTGTAAAATTATTTCCAAATAATGGAAGCATAATGGAAGAAAAAATAATGGAAGGATAATGAAAAGCATAATGGAAAAGAAATAATAGTACACTTCTGTGTCTCCTTTTTAATTAGTCAATGCATTTCATATTATTTTTTACTTTTCGCTGGAAAAGAAGAGCTCAACGCATTACTGGTTCCTTTTGGATACCACTACGTGTCTCTTACACAAACAAAATGAGTTCACTAACCTACTTACCATATACACCGCTCAAAACAATTAAAGGATATTGCAAGTCCTGTATAAAATAAAGTAAAAACAATTTTTTTTCTTTGCATAAAATGGAAGAAGAGAGACATTTCTTATTCTCAAACTTCACGGTATGCAAATTTTGAGTTTTGACTTCGAAGACGACGCTTCAACGACAGCAAATTTGATTTGGCTTTCAACTTAATGTGAAACACAGCGGAAAATAATGATCGACATTTAGTAAGAGCGTTGTTTCAATGAGAATCAGAAGCTTAGAGCGTTATTGGCCGGTTAGAGAGGGCCGAACATAAGCTGAAGTAGTAAAAGCCATTGGAGTTTTTTAAAAAAAAAGGGATTTCCAGGATCTGGAACCATTTTATGGAGACTGGAAATGTTGGTCGAAGATCATGTCAAGGGCGTAGACGAACAACAACGTCCAATG